AAAGGTAGGCAACGGTCTGCCGACTTGGACACGAAGCGGCTCAGAGCGGCTATTCGACCATTCAGCCTCTAAACCTCCTTCATTTTTTGGGGTGGTCTCATGTCTAGGATGGCCTTTATTTTGTCCGGGTTGGCTTCAATGCCGCATCGGTTAACAATGTATCCCAGGAATTTGCCCGAGGTGACACCAAAGACACTTATTCGGATTCAACTTCATATTAAATCTACGCAGAATTTCAAAAACTAAATGCAAGTCTTGTATTAAGTCGCATGAAAACTAGGTTTTGACGACCATGTCGTCTACATAACACTCTATTTTTTGGCCAATCAATGGCTCAAACAACTTATTTACAAGTCTTTGAAAGGTTGCCCCGGCATTTTTTAGCCCAAAGGGCATGACCTTGTAGCAGTACAGGCCAAGCTCGGTTATGAAGGCAGTCTTTTCTTCATCTGTCAGGTCCATCCTGATCTGGTTGTAGCCCGAGTAGGCATCTAGAAAGCTCAGCAACTCATGCCTGGAGGTCGTGTCCACCAGACGGTCAATCCTGGGAAGTGGGAAGCAGTTTTTTGGGCAAGCTCGGTTCAGGTCGGTGTAGCCGACGCACATGCGCCATTTACCGTTAGCCTTTTTCACCAGAACGGGGTTGGCCACCCAGCTCGGGTAATGGACTTCCCTGATAAAATCGGCTGCAAGGAGCTTCCCGACCTCCTCATTGACTGCCCTCCATCACTCTGGGGCTAGGTTGCATTTCTTTTGTCTAACGGGCCTAACTACAGGATCAGTATTAAGCTTATGAGTTATAATACTAGGGTTTATGCCGGGCATTTCTGCTGCGGGCCATGCAAAAACATATAAATTTTCAAGTAAAAAGTGTACCAATTTAGATCGCAGAGGCTCCTCAATGGAAACACCGATCTGGAGTGTTCGGACTGGGTTCTCCGTCGAGGCTGGGATGGAGACGGTCTCTTCTGTGGGCGCAGCTCGCTCCTCGCTTTGCTCTGTAGGTTGGTCCAGCTCGAGGTCGTCGACCACCTTGGCTTTCCCTTTAAGGGCAGCGACGTAGCATTTGCGAGACTCAAGCTGGTCACCTTGCGCTATCCCGATTCCGAAGTCCGTGGGGAACTTCATGGCCAAGTAGTAAGTGGACACCACAGCCCGTAAGGCATGGGTAATCGGCTGACCTACTATTGCGTTATACGGGGAGGGGGTTGCGACCACTAAGAAATCGTGGCTGAGCCTCACTATGCTAGGCCAAGTGCCGACATCCACAGGTACTGTGATACTTCCCAGGGGCCTGACTTCCTCTCCACTGAAGCCTACCAGGGGAGTGTTCGCGGGCTTCAAGTCGCTCTCTTGGAGTTGAAGTTGATCGAAGGTTGCTTTGAAGAGGATGTCTGCTGAGCTGTCTGAGTCGACGAGGACGCGCCTGACTTCAAAGTCATTGATCTTCATCTTTATGACGAGCGCGCCATCATGGGGGTAGTGGACCCCGCATGCGTCATCTTCTGTGAAGAAGATTGGGTCTTCCGTCCTTGGCCACTTCGGGGGGTTCTATTCCTCCCTGGCAGCCTCACGAGCTGATGTCCGAGCTGCGGCTGAGGTGCAACTCGCTACAATCGATCCTCCGACTATCACGTGGATGGTCCCCCGAACTGGTCTCTCTTCAGGGGGCTGCTTCTGCGACTGCTCTGCCTGCCTGCTGGACTCGGGAGCATCTCTACTCTGCTCCCCCTGCCGACCTGCTTTATTATTACTATTATTATTTGGTACAAAATTTCTCAGATACCTGCAACGGATGAGCTCCTCTATCTCATCGCGGAGGTTTTTACTGTTCTCGGTGCTGTGACCGTGGTCTTTATGAAATCTACAATACAAATTTTTATTTCTAACATTAGGGTCCGCCTTCAGCCGAGGTGGCCACTTCACATACGGGGCGCCCTTGATCGCCATGACAATCTCGGCCCGTTTTGCGTTGAGGGGCGTGTAGTCCCTTTCTGCTGCTGGAGCTTGGAAAGGCTGATTTGGCTTTGCCCCCCGAGCTTGGTCATTCTTCTTCTTGTTGTTGCCCTGAGTTGGGGGCTCTGGTTCCCTCTTTCTTTTCTCAAGGGCTTGCTCGCCCTTCTGGTTGATCTCTTCCTCCATCCCTATGAACCAATCTGCGAGCTTGAGGAACTCGGTCACGGTCTTGGGCTGATTGACGACCACTTTACACTTGAACTCTTTGTGGGTAATACCTCGCTTGGCTACGGTGAGGCGAACTGCGGGTCCAGATCGGGTATCTGTAGACAAGCGTCATTAAACCGCTTGACGTAACTCCGAATTGACTCCCCTTCCTTTTGAACTATGCAGAGGAGGCTTTCTTGAGTCCTTGGGCACCTCTTGCTGGTGACAAAGTGGGAGGTGAAAAATTGCACGAACTGTGCCCAACTTCTTATCGAACCGAGCGCGAAGTTTCGGTACCATGTGCGGGCTACCCCTTTGAAGGTGGTAGAGAAGGCCACACACATGCAGGATTCACTGGCCCTTGCCAGGTGCATCTGGGACTGAAAGGCATCCACATGATCATTCAGATCGAATGATCCATCATACTTGTTTAGTGGAGGGAGCTTGAAGTCTCTTGGCATGGGGATAGCAAGAAGTTCTGGAGACAGTGGGGAAGGAACTGAGAGGAGAGGAGTAGCTTTTACTTCACCTGAGCTCACCTCCTCTTTACCTTTGAGCTCGGACGAGACATGGGTAGCAGTTCGACGAGCTCATTGGCGTCTTTGCTGCTGCTTTGCCGGCTCAGCGTTGGTGCTGCTTGCTTCTGTGTTACCGAGCTCAATGGGCTCGGACTACTGGTGGTAGCTCTGGACCGAAGAGCCCTACCTGGTGTCTGCAGCTAGGACCTCAAACGGATTTTCTGCGAGTGGGAGCTCGAACTGCGAGTGCTGGGGCGATATGGGCTTGGCTGGCTGGAAGGCTCCCGACCTGCCCATAGGTTGCGAGGCGGGGGTGACTGGCCTTTCCTTTCTACCATGGGAAGAGGCTTGGCTCTTGGAGAGATCCTGGGCCTGAGAGGCTTCTCCCCGGCGAGGTCGTTCGCTCCGGTGGGAGGGGTTGGTCTGCTTCGAGGCCGGGTGCCTAGGAGGGAGTGGCTGCTGGGCCTGAGGCAAGGAAGGGAACTGCTGCTGATACTGGTACTGAGAGACCTGATGCAACACTGTTGCTGGTAGAGTTGGAACTGCTGAAATTGCTGCATTTGATCTTGCATGGCTCGCATTCACTACACTAAGTCTTCCAACTGATTCTGGTTGGTTATTGGGGGCACAACCGAAGGTTCAGCAAAGGTCGCTCCAACTGTGGAAGGGAGTGGAGCGTTCACGGGTGCCACTGTGAGAGGCAAGTTCAGGCTGGGGATCCCGTCCACAGAGAGGGGAATGGTGAACTGTCCGATACAGACAATGGAAAGCTGGGGTTGCTCTCCAGAAGCGTTCTAGTTGGCACCACGCTCGGCGTTGCTGGACGAGGCCATGAATGCTAAGTTCTCGAAAGGAAAATGTAGAAACTTAGAGGAAGGCTTTTTTTGAAGCGTTTCCCACAGACGGCGCCAAATGATACTGCGCAATCCGGGCACTCCTAGCTGGCAGCTGACTGGCTCCTCTCTGGCGGCGGACAGTACCTGAGAAGAAGACGATGAAGGATTCCCAGGGGACTTGCCTGGTGGGAATACTCCGATGCTTCAGTTAGAACGTTGGAGAAAATAGTAAAGAGTGCAAAGAAGGCTAAGAGTGTGGGTTGTACTAGATCACTGAGTTAGCTCGAGAGAAAGTTCGAGTAAGTTCAAGATGAGATATCAGATATTCGATAGTGCCCTTCCCTTCAACTAGGGGGCTCTTATATATGAGCGTTCTTGTCAAATCGGATGTAACTGCCACTGGACCTCTGTCGCAGCCGTTATCTGCCAGGGCTGCGCAGGTAACCGTTGCAGTGTACTACCCAATCGGATGAGTGACACGTCCCGGAAGGACAGACACACCACCACCTGTCAAGAGACGTGGGCACAGACTTGTCGGGCTGGCAAGGACTGCGCCGTCGATCAGGAGACGCGGCGCAGTCTGACGGGTACGGTCTTGTCAGATAGAAGCTTCCTGAAAACATCGCGTCGCTTAGTAGCGAGCTGCCCTGTAGCGAGCTATCCTGTCGCGAGCTACCTTGTAGCGAGCTCCTGAGGGTATTGCGAGGTGATTCCTCTTGAAGTGGCCCTTGAGGCAGTTTTTCTGCCTAAGTATTGGGGCGAGCTAGTTATCCTAGCTCACGAACTGGGGTAGACTTTTCTTGGAGTATTCCCTTTTAGTACATCGGGGGTCCTCGAGCTCGCGCCATAGCGAGCTCACCCTATGGCGAGCTGTTCTGTGGGCTCGTTACTTAGTCGCGGTGAGGCTGTTGTGCTGAGTCATTACTTGTGTTGAGTCATGTCCATGTGTCATTGTCTCAAGGGGTCGGGTCAAATCACCCTCCATCAACTACAATTCAGTTACTTCACCTCAGCAATTGGCCACAGATATGTGCATTGGGGAAGCCATTTTCCATCGGCAATAAAGATTGTCTCTCTCTCTAGCGGGACTCGATTGCTTCTTGGGTTGTCATAAACGCAGGGCATGGGGTTGGAATTTGGAGATAAAGAGAGAAGGGGGAGGGTGGCATTTTTTTTAAATGTGATTTAAATAGTTGTTTTTGAAACTGGTTACTTGGGATAATCCATATTCATCGAAACAAAAAGTTGAATGTTGATTGGTCCATCTCATTTGATATGATATGAAATCATAGATTTTCCCTTTCAAGACATAACTATTATCCGCTTAATGACAGAAACCAATTTTAAAGTTATGGTGCATGCTACCCAAACTTTATTAAAATTGAGAGAAAGTTTAAGGTAATAAAGTGAATTTTCCCTTATTTTTTTTTCTAATAAAATTGAGAGAAAGTTTATTAAAATTCGACCAGATAAATGATAAGAAACGATATGAGCTATCTTTCGCGCTCTCCAATGGAACTCGCTCTCAACTTCTCTGCATCTCTTCATGGAGAGAGAATTCCTCTCTTCTCTTCTCATTTTACCCCCAACAAGACACCTTTCCCGCGATATACGAGATTTCCATTTCGAGAATCCCTGTTTCAGGTCCGGAGTCGAGAGTTTGTGTTGGAGAAACAGCTCCTAAGTGGCGGAAATGAAAGAGAAGAAGAGGAGAGCCGAGCAAGAATGAGTTCTTTTGACGATCTTTCTTTCCTTTCTTTAAGTGAAAAGCCAGACAGGAACTCGGCCTTGCTTGACGAGTACGAGATGGAAGAGCTCGACTTCGAGGCCAATCCAAACCATCGAAGTGGTTAGCCTTTCTTTCTTTTAATGTTCTTCTATGTAGTTTCTCCTTTAATTTTGTCCTTTTAAAAGAATAAGAAATATGCATTTTTGCATATATCAGTTTGATGTTTAATGAATCTTAAGAAAATTAAAAGGGCCATGCTTTCTTTGGCTTTTCCCTTTCTCCTTAGAGTCTTTTACTTGCACCAATTCACTGTTTTTCTTATACGGTTATACCTAGTGTCTTGTGTATTAATTTCTTTGGATGTAAGCTTTGTTAAGTAAAAAATTCAACATAGAAGGAAGAATTAAAAGGAATAGAGGATGGAGGGATGATCTTTAAACCAAATGAACGTAGTTTGTTATAGAGCATTTGTTGCATCTCTCTGACACATAACACATTATGGAATTTAATGCTTTTACAATATTGTGGTGAAACCTCCTCGATGGTTATCTTAATTTGGATGATATAAATGCAGGATATGTTGCTGTACTAGGCAAGCCAAATGTTGGGAAGAGTACACTCTCAAACCAAATGATAGGTCAAAAGCTCTCAATTGTTACCCACAAACCTCAAACTACAAGGCATCGGATCCTTGGTATTTGTTCTGGCCCTGAGTATCAGGTACAATGCATACTTCCAGAACCTTTCTTGTTTGCTTACCTTGCTAGAGTGTTTAACTACTTTAAAACATAACAATTGGGATAAAGCTTGGATGATGATGATGATGGATTGGGAAAAGGAATCTAGGATTTGGCTTGTAATTGGCATATATTAATATCTTCAAATTGAGTGTAACTTTTTCACAAGTTCCAAGTCAAACTAGCGCATTTATAGGACAAATAGGTCTCTTATGTTGTTCCTTTTTAGTATTGTTAATGGCTACTCTACCTCAAGAAGAGGCTGCTATGGGGTTCAAATGCTCCATCCAAGGAGAGTGCACTTCATATGATCCTCAGAGTTAACGATTTCATTAACAGAAGAATGCATTTTCTCCGAGTGCTTGTTGTGCCTTGCAAGCTGAAAATGATTAACCGTTTTCCAGTGCATTGTGCCTGTGCTTGGGGGTTTGGAGCTACTTTTTCTTCTCATGCGGGGTTCTTTGATCATGCCCAAGCCATGGAGCTCCTTATTGGTTGGTGCCAGGGCCTGTCTAATAATAGGTTGGATCCTTTTGGGAATGGTCCCATTATCATAGTGAGCATCTGGAATTAAAGGAACCGAAAAGCCTTTGGGATCCATTCTAGGCTATCTGACGTGCTGAGTTCAAATTTGTGGGGAAATTTAACTTTGTTCTGTATAGCTGTTTAACCATTGGATTTGTATTTGTTCTATTTATGAGGTTTTAACTTGTCAAAAAATTAAGAAAACAAAAGATCCTGAAAATACCTCACTCTGAGAGAAAGATTTCCTTCCCTTTTTTGATATTGCCTATGATATAGATGCTGTGGTGGAAGATTATTTCAATCAGGTTAATGAGGAATTTATTTGGGGCCCAACTTTTAGCGGGAATCTAAATGACTGGGAAGTGGACCCTATGGATGAATTGTTGAACCATCTTAAAAACTTCAATCCTAACCCTCATTTGGAGGATGAAAGAGTCTGGTCCTTTGAATATTCTAGTGAGTTCTCAATCGGATCTTTCTACGGCTCTCTCTCCTTACAGCAAGATAGTCAGATTCTTGGTTTCCCATGGGACAAAATTTGGTGCTCCCATATTCCCTCAAAAGTGGTTTTTTTGGTTTGGACAGCGGCCCATGGAAGATCCCTAACAATAGACAGGTTATTAAGAAGAGGTTTGCCTCTGCCGAGATCTCTTTTGCTCTCTATGCAATGCTGCTCCAGAATCCATAAACCACCTTTTCAGCCATTGCAACTTCTCTCAGACTCAGCAGCTGTGGACAATGGCACCATCCTGCTTCGGTATTCTTTTTTGCTTCCGAGAATCTGTTATTCAGCTTTTGCAAGGCTGGGCAGCTAGGGGTCTGAACAGGAGAGGTAAACTTTTGTGGAATACCCTCCTAGCTGCTATCTTTTGGCTAATTTGGAAGGAAAGAAATCGTTGAATCTTTGACCATAAAGTTTCAAGCATAGAGGAAATTAAAAACAATCTTATAGGTTTACTATGTTCTTGGTTGGGTGTACATGGTTTATTTAAGGATGTCCAACTAATCTCTTTTTTGCAATTTGGCATACCACTACATGCTTGGCATGCCTGTGTTGACATAATATGATATCAGTACTGACACTAAATACTGCATTGACACTAGCAATGCATTCTTTACTGCATGTTTACTTATAAAAGATGGTGATTTTAGCAAACCATATATATATATATATATAAGGTATTGAGAATAAATACTTGGCTTAATGCAGCTAAGAATTTGAGCATCGTTTTAGCATTATCAAAAAAGGAAAAAAAGAGTTATAGTCCTGTTCCTCATGCCTGTAAGCATGAGTATCACTCACTAGGGTTTGTGTTCATATATGCATATGTATATGCATGTGGCTGAGCTAGGATTTAAAATCTATGGTGGTGGGTGTCACAGGGTTATTTGTTTTACTAGCACCACATGATGGCACCAAGCCCATCATGTAAAATTATTCATTGAGTTATGTCTTAGTTTGCAGATGATACTCTATGATACACCTGGTGTTATTGAGAAGAAAATGCACAAATTGGATTCTATGATGATGAGAAATGTCCGCAATGCAGCTATTAACGCAGACTGTGTCCTGGTTGTTGTTGATGCATGTAAGGTGCCTCAAAAGGTATGCTTTTTTTGAGAAGTTCTTTTCAGAGTTCTGATTTTCCTTTTCTAAATTGATTTTCTTTTTCTGCTTCTAGATTGATGAAGTGTTGGAAGAAGGAGTGGGGAGTCTTAAAGATAAGTTACCTACTTTGCTTGTGCTGAATAAGAAAGACCTTATTAAGCCTGGAGAAATTGCAAAAAGACTTGAGGTTACTATCTGGTTGTTTCTCTGTTTTTTATTTTTTGTTCTTTTTKTTTTKTTTTTTTTTTTTTTTTTTTTTTTTTTTTTWWT